GAGCACAGATAGCACATTGTGTAGCTTTATGCTTAATTACGAATAAACAAATAATTCCAGTAATTTTTTTTCGAAATTTTGCCTTAGAAAAACAACAACACAATTGCCAATATTGTATTTCTTTGAAACTCGCAAACAGACTTTGTCGGGTTGATAACACTAGACAACAAAAAATTTGCTACTGGAGAAAACGCAAGTGATTCTGGACAATCTGGTGGTTCTGATTTCAAAATTATAGTTCGAATCCGTCTATCACCTCTAGATTTTCAGTTATTGTAATATCTCAATATTTTATGTGAAATATCATGCAACCAATTCAGTAGAATATATTTATGTTTCCTTGGACAGTTTAATGGGTAAAAAACATACATTTTTTATAACTTCAATCATTGACTGTATTGTATTGGTGTACAATTCCAAATATATTGTTCATATATGCTATTTGTCCTCGATATAAGTATGCCGTTTGCAGCTCCCGTGATATGACGTGAGCCTAAAGATAATCTAACTGCCTGTTATTTTTGCATGACTAATGTTTTTGGATATTCGGGCAAAACTAAACAATACATTTAACATCCAGATATTGCATCTGCAATTAAACCAGTAGCTCATGGGGGTGGTCTTCCAGTACCACATCCACCAGCGAATTGGGAAACAGAAGAGTTATCCTGCGAAGGCAATGAATCTAGTAATTCTATTCCTGTGGCACCTCAACATAAACTAATCACACAAGATGAACTAAATGATCTGATTTGTGAACTGTCTCTGCCAAAGCAGAATGGGAAATATCTCGCATCTCGTTTACAGCAAGTTACCTACCGAAGTCGCCATCAAAGTTTTGCTTCTCACTGCAGAATGCAAGATACTTTGTGTTTCGGTACAAATGTTCTGACCTATTTTAGTACGTTTTCTATCGATAAATTTCAAATCGGCTACCTATTCGATACAACAAGGCAGTGTGTACAATAGTCCGCCAGGTGGCAGTATTCTGCCTCGTCGTGTATCCATGCTGGAAACACCGTGAGGTAAAATTTAAGAATTTAGGTCAAGATGGACCTTGAAGGAAGACGTGATTCACTGTTACCTTGGTTGAGACTCTCAAGGTACTCATTGCACGGCGTGGCAAAGGCGTTTCTTAGTAGCGTTGTAGAGTAACTAGTGTCAAAGAACGGCCTTCCGACCGTGGGCCTCGCCTTTCGTGAGGCACAAAGTAAACGGAGTTTGTCGTCGACACGTTTGTACTTAAGAATGATTCTAGATGCCTAAATTATACAAATCGTGAATGGAAAGTCCATTACCCTAATGCTAATTCTGTATGAAGTTTTAAACCATTGTTATTCGTTTGGCTTCTTAACCCGTCGCAATAATAATAATAATAAAACAAGGCTAACGTGATAACTTAAAAAATATAAATGAACATTCTGGGCATGCGCACACACACAACCAAAAAATGTCCCAGTTAGCTTGGATAATGGAGATTCTAAAAGAATCGAATCAGCGGTAATAAGACAGTGGCGGATCCAAGATTTTATCCATGGGGGGTTCGATAAAATTGGTTTCAACATAACTGGGAAAGCTGAGCGCCGTAGGCGCGGAAGTGGGTGGGTATGCGTTTTACTCGTTTAGAATCCACAGGAGACGATAAAAAGCGAAGATTTCTCATTAGTTTAAGTTCTATAAATGTTCATTATTTATGAACCACAGAAAATTACCTGAATCATGGAATACAATACACAAACTCTCCACACCCCTTCTCTCCTTTAGGCACACTAATCTAAAACTCTATACGTGTCTCTCAATCAGCGCCATCTTATCGTACTTGTAAAATCAGAAACTATTTAGAATAGCGTAGTTTTTTCACGCATAATCAATTACAGCAAATTTTACTATAGGAAGTGACTGACCTAAACTTTACGTATACAGTTTTTACTGTAAGAATAAATAAAAGAGGGGAAAAAAACCTATAATTGCTGCCAATTTTTTTACTGTTTTGGGCCTTGTTTTTTGTAAAATAATATGATGCAATGAATTCTCTAAGAGGGGGGATCGATGAACCCCATTTGCTTCCGCCAATGTATTACCGTGGGGAGGGGTAAAAAGTGAAAGCTAAAGTAACTTATAAAATAAGCTTTATGCATCAATCCTAACTCTACTCGGGGGACGCCATAGCTGTAACATTATAATATACAAACTAAATTTGTACATAATAGCATATGTTTTCTTTTTTAGCCGCGGCATAGCGGCTCATAGAATAGCTCTGAATTTGCTAGTTTTGTTTGTTTGTTTTTGCATGTGCAAACTATTAGCTCATAGCTCTATTTCTAAACCGATTTGAGATTAATAGCAGCCGCTGCTATTGAGAATTCCCACTTGTAGTGTTTGAGTGAAAGTAGTTTTCTAAGTGTTACATTTGTTTTTGGTTTTTTATTCTTTAAATAAGCGCTCGGAACTAATAAGTGTTCAGTAAACAGCGAAAATTATAAAATAACATTCCTTAACTTTAGTAAAACCTTTTCATTTTATCCAATATAAAGAATAGCAACTGTGTGATGTGACGATCCAACACACGTGATTACAAAAGTGCTGCTATATCTTTGTACAATAAGCGTTGTAAGTATGTAAAAGTTTCAATACCAGCCCATAGTGTAGCTTTGGGCTTGACAACAAAAACATACATTTCATCGAGTGTTGGCGTTTGAACGCCATCTTGCGACTGTTGCTATAATTTTAAAAATACAGATTTAAGTAAAATATCGATTTTTTATCATCTGTAGCAATAACAGAAAAGAGAAAAAAACTGTAAAATCAGAAACTTACGAATTCAAAGTGATTACTAAAAATGTGATGAGATAAGAACTGTGTAACTATTAAAAATCAACTACAACGCAGACGTAAAATATGGATTTATGATGCTGGAATGAAAAGAGCTAAATTTTGCTTCATGTTGTAAGTATGATACTTCTTTCTTTGTTTAATACTTAATAACGAGATGATTTACTATACGGTGAACGGCAAAGAAATGTATACAAGTTTTAACAATCCCGGCCCGGCATGGCCAGGTGGTTAAGACGCTCGACTCGCAATCTGCGGGTCGCGGGTTCACATGCCCATCCCACCAAACATG